CCCCCCCCCCCTGGATCCGCCCTTGAACACAATGGACTTGCTTACTTACCCATGAGCATACTGCATGTAATCAGACAGGTTTAAACTCTGAGCAAAGAGAATAAAAATCCATGCGTTAGACAAACGATAACAAAAATAAGGCAATGGATCTAATGGGCATAATTTTTCACAAGTGCAAAAAGAAATAAAAATAACGTTAAACAGAAGTGGAGCTACTGAAATCGCGTTCAAAGAAAAAATAGATAAAGATATACTATCGTCATTGTTTAGGGTGGGTGACACCTGTCAGTTGCCAGCTTAGCACTGATAAACCTGTGGCCCTCCATGTTTAATGTCTCCAAATGAGAAGGGACCTCCATTTTACGTGGTCATATGATCCACGGCGAAGATTTGTCCATTGAAGAATATTTCTTAGAGCAAAGGTAGGCTTTTTCTTAAAGATTTTAAGACTCCGAGCGTTGATCTCGCACAACAAACTGGTGCCCAACCAACTGAGCCAAGAGGGAGATCTTACTGAGTTCCAGTGATGTGTGTTTTCAACTGAAGAGAGAATATAAAGGTACCTTTGCGAGAAGAGCAAGATGACTGTTTTGGACCAAAGCTGATCTGAAGGTTGCTAGATGACCCTCTGTCATGTCAGGCAACATGAAGTACACATGAGAACTAGAAAGAAACAAACAGAAAAACAATGCTCAAAACTGTAGATGGGATAAAAAATAACAAAAGAAGAGAGTGAAGTCAAACCTGCATATGAACTCCAAGACAGCATCGCCAAGAAACTCCAAGCGCTCGTTGTGTCTGATCCTGTAAATATCAACAACAAATAGTGTTTGTGGTTGACAAATTTGAAGGTGAACTAGAAATTTCTATATTTTTACTATTGTGATGATTACAGGTGGATGATGATGATGATGATTGATGTTGTTGTCATTGATGATGATGGTGGTGATGATGATGGTGATGATGATGCTGATGATGATGGTGTTGATGTTGTTGATGATGGTGATGATGATGATGGTGTTGATGATGCTGATGATGATGGTGCTGATGATGGTGTTGATGTTGTTGATGATGGTGTTGATGGTGATGATGATGGTGATGATGGTGTTGATGATGCTGATGATGATGATGGTGTTGATGGTGATGATGATGGTGTTGATGATGCTGATGGTGTTGRTGGTATTGATGATGGTGATGCTGATGATTAATGATGATGACTAATGATGTTGGTGGTGATGAGTGATGTTGATGATGATGAATGATGTTGATGGAAAAATGATCTTATAGATATACAGACTGCAATAACACCGGATTGGGTACACTAACATGGTACAAACTACCTCACTGCAACTTCAAGCTACCTATTCTACCTACATTTCTATCTGTATTCTGTTTATCTGTCTTCCTGTTGACTCTTTATCACCATCACTACTATCTTCTACCTTACACAAGGACCCATGTCTGTCTTTAAAACTGGTTTACAAATGAACAAGAGATATTACATTCATTCTGTGAAAGTTGAGGGGAGATAGGGGAGGGGAGGGGAATCCCACCCCCTGTACTGTGGGGTTAGTAGTCTTCGTCACACAGAGAACAGCTATAGGGGAAAATAAAGTTTAGGTCAAACGTCAAATTTCACATGAGCCAAACCTAATTTAAACAATAGATAACAAGGTGGTGTTCTTTGATGTCATTAGGTTTGGCTCATGTGAAGTTCGACGTTTGACCTGAGCCTTAGGCTTACAAATAAACAACAATTATTCTTCAAGACTTAAAAAATATGGTGAACCTCACATTGAATGGTATTCCTCTATCTTGCCGAGGTTTGCCATAACTCTAATCAACTGTGTGATACCTATCAAGTAGAGTAAATGTCAGTGGCTTTTATCCTGTATGTATAAAGGATAAACACAGTMTGATACAAGACAACAAGAAATTTAAGTTTCTCTTCTAAGTTTTTAGTTGCAATACAAGCAAAAAACATGTTTGTAAATAAAGCAAAACATACAGGCCTGTTGGAACTCTTCTCTTACATGTGTGATAAAAGAAGGATGGGGAATATAGGTATTATGGGGATTATGACAGCTGAGTCAGCATATGCTGGTTACAAGAGAAAATGATCCTTTTAAGAGAATGCTTACCTTTTTCTCTGACAAAGGATTAACATCCAAAACGTCAGTACTCTCATAACCTTTCTTAGACAGAGTTTCAGTTTTTTCTTATTTACTGTTCTATTCAATACATGTAGTTACTGCTTACCTTTCTTTTTGGTGTGTATTCGATGTATTCTTCTGTCACCATATCGTGGTTGTTTTACTCCACAGTTACTCAAGGTATTTCTGGCTTGGTCTGGGTTCATACCGAAATTTAAATGATACGATGGATGGGAAAGAGAAAGCTGAAAAATATAATTTAATGATTAAGGAAAAAATAAGAATAGTAGGATGGGTATAAATATGCATGAATGGAAGATGGGAAAAATGGGAAAAGGAAGGAAACTGGTTTGATGAATGGATGGATAGGATGAATGAACAGATGGGATGGGATGGATGGGTGGATGGATGGATGGAATGGGTGGATGGATGGATGGGATGGATAGATGGATGGATGGATGGATGGGATGGATGGATGGGTGAGTGGATTGATAGTATGGTTAAATTGATTTATGAGGTGTGAGGATGAGATGGGGATGGATGTGATGAACAGGTGGAACAAGAAGGAATGAGCATAACAACAAGATTATTATTTTCAGACAGTTTTGCACCTGTAAAAGCATGCGATCCTTGAACTTGTATCCAATTTTGTCATCTAGCGTCCTAAGGCTGATGTGGTACCTCAGGTGATGTACCAGAACTGGAAACAACATGGCATGCTATGAAAACAAGTAAAACAAAACCTTATACAGACTTTACATGAAGTGTACAAAGGCATGCACATAAAATTATGGCATAGCCGTGACACTCAATGCCAACATCTTCTAACCAAATAGAGCATAAATTCATGGCAAATGTTTATCATAAATTGTATCTGTATCTTTTAAATAAGAGACAAATCAAGGGAATAGCTCAGCTCACCTGACAGACATCAGAATGAATACCAGTTTTCATCAATCCTTGGCTAGTCACTTTGACTTCAACATCTCTGCGCATTGAACTATGAAACCAAACAAGAGGTACCAAGGTAAGCTAGGCATATCTTGAACAAAATATGTAACAATGCACCAAGAATTTCAAAAGTAGAATAACGATTGTTGAATTAAGAGAGTTAAATTACAACAATTACCTATTTAGTCTCATTTTTTCCAGTTTTACCTGCAAGAAGTAAATGAATTATTGTCAACAAAATGCTGAATAGTAAAAAAGCCATGAAATTCCTTTATTTGTTTCAGCAAAAATGTCTGGTCTAGGGAAAATGGAAGGACTGTTGATAGCTAAAGTAAGTAAAAGTACCTTCATCTCAACCAGTCTGTCTTGGTATTTTCTGCTGAACACAGGTCTGACGGACAAACAAACAAAAGAAAATCAAGTTCTTAATTGTATAATTATTATTAACTAAAGTATGCTTTACATGGTTTCAACTTCCCTACTAGCAGAGTCTCCCTAGTTGGCAATTCTTGACAAGAACTGATATTTACACATATGTAAATAGTACTCACTTTCGTTTTAAGGGTGTAAGAGCTTGTTTAACCTCTGAGGTTGTTCTCTTGCGCCCCCCCCCCCCCCAATATTTGTAACTTATTCAATTTATGTATGTATATATTTTTTGTGGAAATAAAAACTGTTGTAACTGTTGTTGTTGTAACTGATGATGGAGACTCTGCTACCATGGAAGGTTTTGACAGAATACGATTGCAATACACCAAAATCTTCCTACCTGTTGGCTGCAGTGTTTCTTAATCTCAAAAATGATTTCCACAATCTCTGATACCTGAAGAAAAAGGGTGTAGAATCATGTAGCTTTTGAAGTTTGAAGGTTAATGAAGGTTAATGCTTATAATAACTCACTTTGCATTCCCTGAGTACGACATCTGAACAGGACGAATACCATGATGCACAGCAATAGGATTTGTCTGCAAAATGAAAATCAGGACTAAGGAAAGGTTTAAGGGCACAGTTAAACATGACATAGACACAATAGGCCTAATTCATTGTCTTCCCATTTTTTTACATCATGCCTCCTGGTTCCCTTAAGTATACTTTCTTATTAGCCCAGGCCTGTCGCTAAAGGGGAGGTTTGTTTTTCTACCAATCCTAGTTACATGGCATTTCTTGATAAACATTTTATTGTCTTATTGGATCTTATTCATACAAACTAAATTCCAAACCTAATGTTCCTAACTCAATAAACAACCGTCAAGCGATTGCATTTCTAGTTCTAAAACGAAAAAATTGTGCTTTGTTTGCGAATGCGATTTAGATACTTAATAATTTCATATAACTTCAGTTTAGATACTTATAATTGGATTAAAAGTCCAAAGGTCATTTCCTGTCATTGTTTGCAAGGAATATTCAAATCACAACAAGATAG